AAATAGATGGATGGGACCTTCTAAGTTATAATTACCTTTTAAGACTTTGAGGACCAGTGGAAAAGAATGTGTTTCTCTAATGAGCATATAGTTTTGTAATCTGACAAACTCATGCTTTAAAGAAAATATCTGGCCTATTTTATAAAGGAATAAAAACACTGGCATAAACATCACATTTTAGAGGTCAGCTGCGAAGGGCCTTAAAATTATCACTTCTCATAGTATGGGTAAAATTAGTTCTATTTTCTTTATGTAATTAATTTAGTGATATAAATCAAATGTTATCTGACAGAAAAAAAAATCTATCAAAAACAGCTCTGTGAAAATACAATACTGGATTGAGTAACAAAGTAAGATTTCTGAATCATTGCAAATATAATCAAATAGTATAAAATACTGAAATATTTATCTGTTTAAATCATAGCCTAAATATAAGTCCTTCCAGTCATTCATAAGCATTTTCCTAGCAGTGTGTCCTTTTTTCTTAATTTAGCAGTGTGCTCTTCTAAGAATTCTGGTGGTCCAGTGGTAGGGAGTTGGGCTGCCGACCCAAAGGAGTGTAGTTCAAATATCCACTAGCTGCTCCATGGAAGAAAGATGGACAAATTTTTACTATGAGATTTTACTGCTGGAGGGTCAATTCTGATTTGATGATACACAAGAACAAGAATAAAAACCGCTATTAAACGAATTAGAAAAGCCCATCCTTCTCATGTAACATCGAACCATTAAATATCATTTTAGGGTAACAATGCCTCCTGAGATAAAAGAGTAAAAATGACTTCTTAATTTCTCAATATATACTATTTTTAAAGGTTTATAAAGTGAAAATTCAGCATAACATAGCATAATATATTTTCTTCAAGATAATATATTATTTCGTACAATAAAATAAATAAACCTGTTAATATAAAATTAACACTAGTATAAGCCTCTACTAAGATGCTATCATATTGTATCAGAAGTTAAAAAATTATGACAGCATTCTCTAATTCTGGTCAAAAGAAACAGACAGACATGATTCTATAGAATCACTTTTCAGTAAAACTGCCACAAACTATGAATTTAGAGGATGGAAAAATCCCCCTGAACATTAAAACCAAATATACACAGAAACACATAGACATGAAAATCACTTGCAAACCTAAACATTTTATGTCCTCTACTGCTAAAAATGAATTGTTTCATTTCAGTGCATGAATCACACAGTAGAGAAAAAGGATGTCATAAATTGTATGAGGTTTTAAAACTAGTTACATGAAAACGTTTTTTATTCCTATACATTTAAGTCCTATGTATTTTTATTCCTACATACACTGAGAAAATATTTTTTTTGCTAAGCCTGTCTAATAAAGGAAATGAAATTTTAACTTATAATTATGAAGTCCTTTATAATTTAAAAAATACCCTGATATGCATTATGTCATGTGATTCTTGGAAAAATACTGATAGGCACTACAATTTTTCTGACAATTAAGCCGTTTCAAAGAGTTTGTGATCTATTCATGAAGAAAGTTGCTCAGAGCAAGAAGAGGTCTGAAGAACCCAGATTTCCTAATTACTAGTCCACGTCCTGTTTGCATAAATGCAGTACAAAATTTTAATATTCCAGAAGGAAATTCTTTTTTAGAGTTAACAGACAAGGTTACTAAAGCACAAATTTCCGTTATTGTGCCAAAATTTCAAATACGCCTTCTAAACACTCGATATAAATTATTTCAGTTGGATTTTTTTTAAAAAATTATCAGCTAATGAGCAGCCTCTGTAATTTACCAAGTCTATTTTTATTTTTATGAAATTATCATAATAAAATCCTGTCTTCAGGTTAAGAATAAGGCCATCAGGAGCTTAAGCCCACTTGAGAGCACCACTAACCATTCTGAAAAGATTTTAGAAAACAAAAGATGTATTTCTGTTTTTCGCTTTCCATAGCTGTGGTTCTATCCAAGTTAATAAGGTTTTGCCTTAAAGCTTATGCAAATTTAAAGTAAAAACTGTAAACTCTAAACTCTTTATCTTCAAGTATAAAAATGAATGTTCACTAAGACTTATTTACACGTTAGAAAAAATTAACGGTGAAATTAAATTTTTTTTTTTCACCAATGTGTTAGGGATGTTCTCTCACTGACAGAGCCTCCCACAAGGCCTCGAGTTCCTGAAATAGACCTCATAACCACTGACACTCAGGATGGTCAAGTTCAGGCTTATGTGAACTACTACAAAATCATTTGCATTCACCCCCGGCATACAACCAGCTCTGTTGTTGAGTGCCATCGAGGCAAAACCGACCCAATGACCCTTCAATGGGTTTTCAGAGGCAGTCGAGACTATGGATCCTCACATGAAGCAGCTGGTGGAATCAAACCCTAGACCTTTAGGACTGCAGCCCAGATTCTTACCACTAGGCCATCATTTCCTTAAGCCAGCTACCTAGCAACTTAAAATCAACTACAAGCATTCAGCCACAGCGATGCAAAAGTCAGTACACAAAATCTCTAAAAGGCATTTTTTTTAAGCCCAAGCTAATTTTTCCCCCTTTTACATCACTACAACGGAAATACTAATCCATCAAAATACACTTCAAAGATGTCTACTGTGATATTACGGAATTCTAGAAACCTATAATGCAACTACGTTAAGGGCAGAAACGCAATCACGGCATTTAGAACACCTCTGCAGTGGGTCCATCTCCACGTTTTAAAAAAATAAGCACGTATGGTGGATGCTCCAAATTTGCTTCCATTTGCAAGAATGGCAAAAGTCTGGAAATGCACGAAACGGAAATGCAAGTAAAATCGGGATGAGGGTAATAAGTTTGGGGACTCGGGCCCCCCCGTTTGAGTCCCGGGGACACAGCGGCCGGCTGGCGCGTTCCCACCGGGGCGTCCACCCGGCTTCGCAGCAGCAAAGGGACAGACGAATGCCGTGCACAAGGGGCTCCTCCCGCGTCTTTGTTTATTCTCAAAAATAAAAACCCCTTCAAAGTCAGCGCCCTCAAGCGGGAACCGACCCTCAGCTGGCCCTGCAGCGGGGTTTCAGAGGCTGAAAATCCCAGGAGAGCCAGCACCCCCCCTTCCTCCCGCCGAGCAGCAACGGATGGATTCGAACTCTCGGAGACGCCCGGGTCAGCAACGCAACTCCCTGCGGACTAGGCCACCCAAGAGCCCCTAGGTCCCCCTCCGAGGGCTCATTTTATTGACAAGTAAAAAAAAAACACCAAATTCTTTACAGCAGGAGGGGTGCGACCGAGTGGGGGCGGGGCACGTGGGGGCGCCCAGCGTCCCCGGGAGCGTGAGGTCCCCCCGCGGCCGGCATAGGCCGGGCGCCCCGATACCCGATCCCCCAACCCCCGGCCGGCTGGATCCCGGGCCCACCGGCCTCTGGCTCCGGAGACCCTGGGCCCCGCCGGCCTACGACTCCCCATGACCCCCGGCCGGCCCCCCACGCCGGGTCCTTCGTCCCGGACTCGGGTCACCCCGCCCTGGCCGAGCCCCCGGCCCCCGACACCCGGCCGACCCGATGCGGGCTCCACCGCGCGGGGCTGGAAACGCCGAGGCCCCCGATTGCCTCTTCTTGGGGGGCTGCGTCCATGGAAGGGGGAGGGAACGCCGCAAACCCTCCGGACAGAATTTCGGTCCCGCCGGAAACCCACCTCCCAACACCCGCACCACCGACATCTAAAACGAGAACTCGGCCTTCGGGGGGCCGGTGGGGTGGACGCCCTAGCCGGCAGGCGCCCCACGCGCCCCGCTAGGCGGAGGGACCGGCCCGCGCCTCCGCGCTCCGAGCCCGGGGCCTGAACCCCGAGCGGCCCGCCTCTCCTCCGGCCGGGGCGTTGGGGCGGCCGCGGGACAGACCCGACCGGGATGCGGCCCCCGCCCCCACCTCCCAACGTGCGGCCGACCACACGGGGCCGCGGGAGAACAGGGCGCCGGCCGCCCGGGCGTGCGAGCCGCCCCCCGGGCACTGACCCCTCGGGTCGCCGCTGCCGCAGCTCGCTCGGGTTTCCCGTCCGCAGGCCCCGACCCCGCTCCGCCGCCGCCGCCTCGGCAATCTCTGGCCCCTGTCGCTCTGTTTGTTTTTGTTTTGTTCTACCCAGTAACACGGGGGCGAGAGGGCTGCGGTGATTGGCCGAGACCAAGAGGTCGGTTGGCCAATCGTAGCGGGGGGACAGGAACTGAGGCGGATACCAAGGGAAGTGAAACGTGGAAACGTGGACGGGGTGCGGGAGTGCGCATGCGCATCTGGCTCCAGTGGCAGGAGTAGGAAGGGAACGGGAAGCCGAGGTGGGGGAGGTGGGAAAGCGCCAGGAGATGAAAACAGGCGAAAGGGCAGAGCAGCGGAGTGGTTGCCCGGCTGAAGTCGTCTCGACCAATCACCCATCCCCTTCATGAGGCGGTCAGCAGACTTGGCAAAAGCAAAGGCTTTGGACTTCCTGCATGTCTGGACAACCTGCAGAAAAGATACTTTGACTTCAAGCTCCTCAGCCTCCTCTCCCGGGTTCACGCCTTGACAGTTACTACAAGTGCAGACCTCATCCATACTCAGAACTCCCCCTGGGCCAGTGCCCTGCATTCTCCCAAGTCACACACTCAAAAACGCTTTGAAGTCTCTTTGCTAGTTATGACTACCCAGGCCACTGGAATTCAAGCCTACACGTTTCCAGGATCTCCAAAACTGGAGATTTCAACTGCCGCTACAATTACTTTATTAAAACTTCTGTTTCTTGAAGTTGTTCTTTTTGGCGAATCTTTTTTTCCTAAGCCACTGTATTCTCTCAGGGTACGACTCAGGTCTCCAGTAGGATTTTCTGGTGGACAAATTCTGGTTGACTTTCCAGAATTGAACTGTCTCCTCCTCCTGTTTACCACTTACTACCCAGTCATTTTGTCCAAATTACCCTGCCCAGAAATTATCACTAAGGCGATTATGTCTCTGTGTGTGCACATAAGTACATACACCTTCACTAGTTTCCATTGCCTACCAAAAGTGTCAACACCCTAAACCTGGCATTTAGTGCCCTGTGGTGTGGCTTCAAGATTTTCTGGTTTTAATCCACTTACCTCCCAGCACACACCACCACCACCCCCCCTTGACTAAAACCAATTTGGACCATCCAGCGTTCCTTTCCATCCTCCCACCCTCTACTTTATCATGCCCTCTCTCTCTCTCACTCCACCAGGTTTTCAGAGGCTATAAATCATTTGAGAGGAGACCGCCCATCTTTCTCCGATGGAGCAGCTGGTGGATTAGATTGCATGTCTTAGAGTTGGCAGCTCTCTACAATTAAGTCACCAGAGAAAACTATTTCTTTACTAATATTTTCAGTGGTGGGAATGAGTGCGCTTGAGATGGCTAGGTTGGCACAGGATAGAACGGCGTGTAGGGCTTTTGGACATAGGGTCACTATGAGTCGCAAGTGACTCAATGGCACATAACAACAATATTTTCAGAGAAGTGACTTTTTTTAGTCTAGAAAGACATTTTAAAGAAATCTTGATCTTTTTAGCCTGTGTCTGTTGCTTGATGCATTCAAATCCACTGACTCATAGCAACCATATGAACAACATGTAAACCATCCTGCACCATACTCACAATCTCCATCATTTGTGTCCATCCATCTTGTTGAGGGTCTTCCTCTCGTGCTGGCCTTCTAGCTTGCCCAGCCTAGTGTCCTTCCCCATGGACTAGCGCCTCATGACAAGCCCAGTGTATGTGGAATGAAGTTTCTCTCTCTTCACTTCTAAGAAGCACCCTTGTACTTGCTCCAAGACAGAAGCATTTGCTCAAATTTGGCAGTCCATGAGGTATTCAGTACTCTTCTCCAATACCACAATTCAAAAGCATCAGTACTTCTATTATTCTTTTCATTGTCCAACTTTAACATGCTTTGAAAGCAACTGAAAAAACCATGACTTTGATCACTTAAATCCTTTACTCAGATCTTTGTTCTTTAGAGCTTTGGAGAGGTCCTTGATAGCAGATTTTCCCAACGCAGCACCTATGTATTTATTGACTGTTGTTATCATGGGTGTTGATGGAGGATCCAAGTAAGATTAAATGAGTGTAAATGTCAACCTTTTCTCCATCTATCATAACGTTGTCTATTGATATTGAGATGTCATCGATATTGAAGACTGTAGTCTTTTATTTTCTGCAGCAAATACTTCTAGTTGTCTGCACTGTAAGCAAGCAAAGTTGTGCCATCTGCATAACACAGGCTGTTGAGGAGTCTTCCTCTCATCCTGATGTCACATTCTTCTTCATAGAGTCCAACTTCTCTAATGATTTGCTCAACATACAGATTGAAAAGGTATGGAAAAGGACACGTCCCTAACACACATCTTTCTTGATTTTAATGCAATGATCCATTGTTATAATCTGTTGACTGTTTCTTGGCCTATGTATAAACTACAGGGACCATTTTGAAGGACCCCTTTGTCAAGTAAAAAATTTCTTTCACTGCCTTCTGGCCTTGTATCAGACATGACCTTTTCTGCAAAAAGGAAGGGAAACGTCAACTATTTTAAACTTTAAATTAATTGCTGTTACGTTAATCCTGAATCACAGACTTCCCAATTTTCCTGCTTTATTTTCCTCTTTATATGATGTACTGGATCAAAAGAATTTCCCACAAGACCGTTCAGACCTAGAAGGCCTGCATTCAGCTAATACATACCTGAGCATCGTAAGGCGGGGAAACATCGTACATAAGTAACCTAGACAGCCACAAGTGTTCCTTATTAACAACCTTTCCCACTGCTAAGAGCTTTCAGGGGTGATGCCAGAGACCCCTGTGTGGCCTTCTAGAGAGCAGTCACCTTGAAAGAGGAAACCTACATTGCACATTCCCAGGATGACTAAGCACTTAAACAGAATGTTGCCATCTTGGATGCCAGCTGTGTGTGCCTACTGATTTGCATAACCTATATTCTCAAATTAGCCTCCAAATATTCCCTGAGAACCTTCACTTTCTGAGATAGCCTTAGAATAGACCTTGATAGACTCCTTTATTTCATATACCAGTGTACATAATCAATCTTTTCCCGCTCCAACCCCTGTTTCCAAGATTCATTTTACTGGCCTCAGGCAGCCAAACCATGGTTTTCTGGTAACATGGCCAGCATGTTACATGGCTAGACTCCTATGTCACTTTCAGTTTAAAAAAAAATCATAGTTTAGCTTTTTTCCGTGCTCTGCCAGGATTTCACTATCCTTTCCACTAACCAGGACTGCTGGCTCCTGATTCTATTTACTCTTTTCTTTCTACACGTTACCTTTTTCTTTCTTGTCCTCCTATTTTGTTCTTGACCTTGATACTGACCTCCTATATGATCTGTGCTAGATTCTCACTTTCCTTCACTAAGCACAATTACTTATCACCTTTTGGAGCCCTCATTGAATAGTTGGCCTACTAATCTAAAGGTTGGGATTTCTAATCCAACAGTTGCTCTGCAGGAGTAGAGGAGACAGTCCTCTCCCACAATTATTTACAGCCTCAGAAATCTTATGGAGGGTTGCTATGAGTCAGATTTAAATTGAGAACAGTAGATTTGTATTTGCATATCATGTACCCTCGATGAGATGGGTTGGCAATGGCAGCAGGTGTATCAGAAAACAAAGCAGGGATCAGAACTATGGTTCATAAAGTCACTGTGAGTCGTAGTCAACTTAATGATACATAACAACAATAGCATACCCAAGCTGGGTTGAGCAGGTATTCCCAAATCTATGAAATAAGAAAAGCATGGAATATGATTACCCATTTAAGAAAGCATCGTTTAAAACTATCTCTAAAAGAGCCAATGCAATGTGAGGGTGGTAGTGGCCGAGCTCCCACTTCATAAAGGGCAACTGTCCCTATCAATAATAGCTATTACAGCAAATAGATAGCTGCTGGTGAGACACATCACCCCCACTTTCCTGCACCTCTTTCTGCCAATCATTCAGATCCAATATTCACGGTTAACACAGAGGTTTTACTCACAGTTGTGGTACCAAGAGTCAGGTTTATTAAGGAAATAGATTGGAGAGTGGATGAGGCAAAGAATATCACCCAATGCAAGTTTAGTTAGCGCAGCGCTCCCAAGGCACAATTTCTTAGTCCAGGCTCTGATTTCAAGTCATACATTAGCTTCTCCTTCTATCTTCCAGCAAAAACCGCAAAACCTTTCATCGTGGCCTTTATTTCAGGGCTTCTCTGTTTATACTTTGCCACAGTCTCTCCACAGCAATGCTACGGTCACAATCATCACAATCGTCACCACAATCACCAGGGTCTGTGTCTCTCTCACTAGGTTTTGCTCCACTCTCCCTTTAGTCTTGCTGCTCAGCATGGGGAAGCACTCTCGCGAGCTCACGCTCTCTGTCTCTGTCTGTCTCACACACACACACACACTGACACAGACACACACACACACACGCACTGACACGCGCGCGCGCGCGCGCACACACACACACACACACACACACACACACATCCTAGTCCCACAGCTGTTGATGATCTACAAGACCATGTGTCTGCAGTTAAGGTAGATGGAGACCTTAGCTAAAGTAATGGCTATTTTAAGCTAACTCTTTTACCAAATTCCCTCAGAAGGATCCATTTTGACTTAAGAGTTCACATCCTCTTTTCCTTTTCAGTCATCTCAAGCACCATCTATGATGCCTGGAATTTCAAGACCCACTTCAGGGAATGCCGATCTGGTTTAGTGTCATTAGCAAGTTTTGGAATTGGTTTCTAGTCCTAGCTTCTCCACTTCCTAGGTATGAAAATGTCAGTTCCTCTCAGGCCTTTTCTTTTTTTCACCAGTAAAATTTAGTTATTGAGTTCAGTTAGTAGTCCCAGGAGATATTTTCTAAAGAACATGAATTTTGAGAACCTAAAAAATAAGGACTTGTTTCAACAAAATAAAAACTGTTTCTTTCCCCTTTAAATGTTCTCAGTATCTTTAATGAGCTAATGTGCTGTGTGTATCTTGAGTGACAAGTTGGAAAAGTCAGCAATGTTCCCACATTCAAGAAGCAACACCCTCTCCCTTTCTTTTTCTTTTATGAAACTTTAAGATTAGTGCTACTTAGGAAAGTGGTGGCTGCTGAGGATGACCACTGTGCCCAAGAGTCCTTTCCTCTGTGTGGGATATTGGCCACCTGTGAATTTGTAGCAAAACACTAAAACAAAATCTAT